TAAAAAGGGATTAGTTATTTGCAACTCCATCAGTGCCTTCTTCGCATATGTTCTGAGTGTTGAGAGACCATGCTTACATAAACAGATAAATTGGAAAGTACTGCTATCTTTTAATTAGAACCAATGACTGATTGTCTGAACGCATAAAGCATTTGTTAAAAGGCATCCGGGACAAGCGCATCCATCGGTTGTGATATGGATCAAAAGCCTCCTACTCAATGAAAAGACAAGAAATATAGATCCAATATTTAATCACACCTTGATGCTGCCACAGTGTATACAGTTTACCACTCCGAATAAGAAAATGAAAGCTTGAGTTCAAAGATGCTATAGAACCATAATCACATCTCGAGTATTGAATGAGACAGTTAATTGTGTTGACATAACCAATTTGATGGATAAGGGGAACTGAATCTGAATTATCCTTGGCTTGACATTGATTCTTAGAAATACAACAATCATATTTATGAAGGGGAGAAACTGATCGAAAATCTTTGAAGAAATACAAGAATTATATAAATGAGGGGGAGCACTAAATTGGAAAGGTATTGGCATACAGTATTATTTTTCCTTCGCTCAGGTTTTGTCCCATTGGGTTTTCCTAACAAGGTTTTAATGAAGCAGTTTTAACCTAGATAACACTATTTTCAGTCACACAAGAATATTGTTCTTTTTTCCTTCGCTAAGTTTTTATCCCACTGGGTTTTTCTTAGCAAGGTTATAATGAGGCATGTTGTTGGTGTTGTGAATCCCAAGGGAGAGAGTTATGTATGTATGGGATCCACTCCCCCATTAATGTTATTATTGTATAACCCATTAATAAGTATGTTAAGCAAGTGTGGGCAAGATATATGGAATATGCGTTGGTTATGGGATCTACATCCCATTCATCAGATGAGTATTGTGTTTGTGGAGGCATCACTTATATGTAAATTGGGTCTATAAATATGTGCATTGTATTACATTGGGGGGTATATATGAGAATAAATTACTCTCATCTCTTTGTATTTCCATTTCTTACTCATTCTTTATATGATATATTTATAATAGATACCTTCTTTTCAACTTGCTTCAAGTATACTAATGAACAACTCATTAAAGTTGAGATGACTATTCATGCTTAAAGACAAGTTTACTAATGAAGACAACTCATTAAAGTTGGGGTAATGTGCAAAAAACCGCCCCTAAACTTTACTCTCTCTCCCAAGTATCCTCCCTGATATTTTATTATTACAGAAAGCTCCCTAAATTATCCCTATTTTTACAAAAAGAACTAGGGAACACTGTTCCGTTTAGTTTTGTTTGTGATATAGTCACATGAGCTATGTTAATTTTCTAAAATGCCATGTTTACCCTTGTAATTGTTGGGGACAGAAACCAATAAAACCCCTCAATCTGTGGAGTCAATTGTACATGAACCCTAAGAACATCTCCAATGCCCTCTCAAATGACCTCTCAAACTCAAAATATAGCAAGTGTTTGAAAATAAGGCATTCCAATGGCCTCTCAAAAGACCTCTCATATTTTAAGATTGTCAAAAGTATTGCCAAATATAGCAGCTATCAAATGGCCTATCAAACTCAAAACATAGTAAGTAGATGAAAATAAGGTACTCCAATGGGCTCTCAAAAGACCTCTTATATTTTGAGATTGTCAAAAGTTGCTAAAATGAAAATAAGGTACTCGAATGGGCTCTTAAAATATAGAATGGTTGTTGTGTCAAAAAATAGCATTTTGGATGAAATATTCCATTGGAGTAGAATTGCAAAAATATTGCATTTTGATACTGTAGCTCATCTCAAAATATAGATTTAGTATGGAAATATAGCACTTTGCATTGGAGATGCTCTAATATCAATTCCCTACTAAAATACTACTTGTTTGCACAAGCCTTCAACACTTATACACCAAACCCATCAATTTTTTCATAACCCTCCTACAATCACAAGCACATCGCTGTGATTTATAGTGAGAAAATGAAGGGTCTTTGGTGGAATTCATCTACGTTGCTTAACTAACAACCCCTCGAAAAAGGAAGGACTGGCCTAATGAGCTGCACTACATTCGACTAGCTATACCTAGCTCTACGAGGAGTTAGTCACCTAAGCCTGTAAAGAAACCCACGAGAGGATTAGGCCATCTTATGGATCATTTTTTTTTCCTTTGGCATCGAATTAAACCACATGACCGGAGCAACACTCAGATATCTGTTTCGGTGTTATTTTTTGCATTGATGCTTAGGTGAGGATGTGTCTACAACTTAAATGCCAAAAGACTTGTGGAATTGTTTGGTGAATTGATGCTTAAGTGGGTTATCATGTGTTATAATTTTTTGGGTTAATGTTTGGAGAAATTTTTGTCTATTTTGACAGGGATTGGCTAAGTGTGTTGATCTCCATTAGTGCATTGATGTTTAAGTTAATGGTTGTGATGCAGTGGGTATATGTAGCAATGTGTATTAGGGCTAACTTATGTATGGGTATAATTGATGTTGTATTAGTGATCATATATTGAAAAAAATGAATGATTTTGTTGTTTACAATTAGTGTAGTTTTTCTTGCAGATTCTATTTAGCAAGTGATGAGGAAATTAAGGAGATAGGGTAAGCCAACCGTATTGATAAGGTAATTAAGATAAGGTGACCATCTCATTAGGTAATTAAGGGATATGATTTAATTAGTTCAAAGGTTGCACTAAATATAAGATTAACTAATCCCTTCTTTTCTAAAAGGAAATGCGGAAACGACAACTTCAACTTTCTATAAAAGTGAAACTAGTTAACAAAAAAGGTATGCCATAAATTCTATATTTAATATTTTATCGGATATTCAATAGTAAAGTACTAACTTGGCCGTCGGAGTGCACCCGACCGGCACCACGCCGTTCATCACTTCTCTTGTCTTGCAAGAATGGCCCTCGACTCTTGATTGTGCAGATTTTTGCATCAACAGTTAGCGCCGTATATGGGAACGAATACTAATTGCCAAAGAAGTTATGGCTCCAACGTTCCACACATTTTATTATTATATCACAATATTACTTGCAATAGGCTATGCTAATGCCATCGTTACCCGCCGTCAAGTCTCATGATTTTAAATTTAAAGGCTTCCACAAACACTACCACTCAAAGGGGTTATTTTATTTTCATATGGAGTATTATTTTCAAGGGTCTTATGGGTCAAATTTGAAGACACGTGATGAAGCATTCATGAGCGTATCTGCTTTTAAAAGAAAAGTGATGATAGAGAGATATATAAGGTCTGCTTCCTATATAGAAAAGGGCAGAGCTCAATCAAAATGTCTCTTGAAAATATATATATGTATATATATATATATATATATCTCCTCTCTCACGCAAGCCAATGAGCTTCATTATTCTTATCGGTGCAAAGTGCAAATAAAGGTGCGTGGTGGCCAAGACCTTAAACGAAAATAACAAGAGAAGGCTATAACAGACTTAACTCCATGAAATCCGATACAGAGACGTTGAAGTGGCCAGACTTGGGCTGAAGCTTTGAAAACGGGGAGTCCTGAAAGCTCTAACAACGTGTAAACTAGAAAGACCCAGAAGCTCCTAAAATAACCCAACCCGCGAGTGCATAGAATTTCAGCATTCATGAACATGAACACTAGCGAGTACAGAGAACAATAACCACGAACGCCGGCGAGAAGCTTCAGTCATGAAAAACCGGTGAGACCCGAAAGTGACTAATCAACTGGAAAGAGCTTCAGCGACCAACAAGATTCAAATTGGCTTCGCCAAATACTGTAGGCAAGGTTGTCTGGTAATAGTTCTTTCTCCCCTTCTATTGGTCTATTTTCATCTTTATTTTAATCATGATTTCTTGCTATTGTCTACTTTAATTAGTATTCCATGCATGGGACAGCCCGGCTATACTGAAAGTATCCTTATTTTCTAATAATCCTTTACAAATTAGCATACTATAATAGACTAAGAGCTCTAAGATCATCCCTAGTTATGGAAAACCTTAATTTTTGCAATAACATAGTAAATTAGAGAAAATAAATTCTTTTGAGGTTGGTAGGCATCTCGAAACAATTTTCCATATAATGACCACAAAAAAAGAAAAAAAGAAAAATACTGTCTTTTTTGCTTTGTTAAAGTTCTATGTATAGCTCTTTAACCTTCTGTCAAACACTCAAGAATTATATAGACTAGATGTTGATCAAGTGCCCAATGTCTAGAAGTCCCAAGTGTCTCAATCACTTATATTTTGCATTTGTTGCATTCCCACACCTTCGATCGATGGAAACTAATTCCTCTCCAACACTCCAATTAATAATATAAAAAATAATCATAGAATCATTTGGATTGTCTCTCAACCAACTATCTATCATTTTGTTTCACCGTATAGTACTATTTGGTGGAATATAAAAAATTCCTTGGGAGTTAGAATGCAAGAATAGGGAGGCCTTAAAAAGTAGTGTCACCAATTGGAAGTGTAGCACCTTTAACACGCATCCAGTGAACATTAATATCAGAACACCTAACTAGTTTATAATTTCTTAAGATGGATTTCTTGCTAAAGAATATTATTATTGAAGTAATGTATAACATGCTATGTGAATAAATTTGGTTGAAAGCATGCTACGCACTTAGGGGTGGCAATTTTTACCGCCCCGCTCGGGCTCCGCCCCGTCCTACCCTGTTAATAATGGATATGAAAACAACTTTTATACCGTTGGGGCAGGCATGGATACAAACTTTGAACCCATCACGTGTAACGACCCTAGCTGATGCCAAAATTTTAAAAAAATTCGGCATAACCTCCCCTAAAAATGGGCCTTCAACAACCTGTCCCAATACACAAAACACTTTAAAATCATCTAGCATCCCATTCATCCGTTCATTATACCTTAACATAGTTCCTTTCATGGTGGAACATCCACACACCAATTAATCTAAATTATCATAATTACAGTCCCAAAATACATGGTTAAGATCTAAAGTCCATGTCTTACAACGTTACATGATACAATTACATGGAAATATATACCATGATTCCATTAGTTTCATTTACATTAAACAAAAGATAAGTTCGTTCTTAAATTACAAGGCCATGAATACTAACTTAGTTACATTTCCACAACTATGAATATACATAGAATGGTCAAAATACAAAATAGCAAACAACCTTCTAACAACTTTCAAGTTTGCGGAGGATTGTCATCCGCCGTTTCTTTGCCATGACCTGAAAAAAATAATAAGTATGCAGGGTGAGCTATATGCTCAGTAGGTGACACTTAAGAAACACATCTTGTGTCCCCGTGAATCCAAACATAGAATAGGTCAATGGGAATGGGGATCATACAATATCGAGATAATACAACATTCCAATCAAACTCAAGTACAAACAATGCAATGCCATGAAATGCGAATGCATGCCGATGTCGCTCCCCGTTTTCACATTTAAAATCCATCACTTTCAAACTGTTAATATAACCCGCCCTTTGGTGACCCCGCAGCGACACGAGAGGAGGATTGGCTAATGTCCCTGACCCTTGGTAACCCTGCGGCGTCATTATGGGGCCCAGCTAGCTCAACCACGCTAGGGCGACTTCCTAGTCCCCTCTAGGCTATATTAACACTCCGGCCCTTTGGTACCCCCGCGGCAACCGGGTTTTCCAAAAACACTTTCATCAAAATACTTTTCCCCAAAACTCCCTATTTTCATTTCAAAAACAATCTTCCCAATCATGTCTCATGGTATGCATGTACATCATGTTCTTAATGCCATGGAAGTGAAGGCTTTCACATTATACAATTGTGCATACATTACAAGTACTCTAGGAAAATTACACATGCCATCCCATATCATTCTAGCAAGTTTTACAACAATATAAGCATGGTAAATCAATTTATCAGACAAGGAAATTAGTCAAATAAACATGTTCTCATACAACTCAAGTAACACATTTAATCATAACCTCACATATAACACTTACATCATCTTTAATACAATTAATTCAAAAATAAACATGCTTTTCAACAATTTAGGAGGTATAATTCACAAAAGAGCAAGAACATCATGAGTTAAGGGCCCCTACCTCTAAATTGAACAAAACCCTTAAAATGGGTCTTGAAATTTGAACTCCCAAAGAGGACCAAAAGCTGGAATTTCTGGTACTAGCACGTAGAGCTCGTCGTGCTCGTCGTTTTGCCTCAAACGGCACCTAAATCCGCCAAAAATTGAGAGAGAAATCAAGGATTGAAGTTGAAAAAGAAAAAAGAAAAGAAAAAAAACAAAAGTAGCGAGAGAGAGATTTAAGCTGCCCGAGAGAGAAAGCAAATTGGAATTAATTGGGTCTGTAATGACCCTTATATCTCAGGTGGGCCCCACAGTTGAAAAGTTATTATACTAATTATATATATAGATAAGTCAAAAACTTTACATTCTCCTCAACTTTAAAAAAGATTTCGTTCCCGAAATCAAGACATACCTGGAGAAGAAAACAACTCTGGATACTTGGAGTGAACCTCCTGTTCGAGCTCCCAAGTAGCCTCCTCGACTCCGTGGTGTCTCCAAAGGATTTTCACCATTGGTATCGTCTTGTTCCTCAACACCTTTTGTTGTGTGTCAAGAATCTGAACTGGTCCTTCCTCGTAGGAAACATCCTCATCAATGTCTACATCAACCTAACTCAAAATGTGAGATGGATCTGGCTCGTACTTCCGTAACATCAATACATGGAAAACATTATGGACCCATCCAACTGTGGTGGCAAAGCAAGTCTGTAGGCAACCTCTTCTACACGGTCCAAAATCTCAAATGGTCCAATGAATCGTGGCGACAACTTGCCACTTTTCTCGAATCGCATCAATCCCTTCCGTGGAGAAACCCGAAGAAAAATGTGGTCTCCCACCTCAAAGGATAACGACCGTCTCCGCTTATCCACATAACTCTTCTGTTGGCTCTGAGCTGTAAGTAACCTCTGTCTTATCAACTTAATCTTCTCAGTAGTCTCGAGTACAATGTCAGGTCCTAAGGCGACTGTCTCGCCTACCTTAGTCCAACAAACAGGAGACCTACAAGGTTTACCATACAACGCCTCAAATGGAGCCATCTGAATGCTCGCCTGATAACTGTTGTTGTAGGCAAATTCAATAAGTGGAAGGTGATCCTCCCAACTACCACCCAAGTTAAGCACACATGCCCGAAGCATATCCTTCAAAATCTGGATAGTACGCTCCGACTGACCGTCAGTCTGCGGATGGAATGCCGTACTCAGGTGCAACGCTGACCCAAACGCTACTTGAAGTCCTTCCCAAAACTTCGAAGTGAACTTAGCATCCCTATCTGAAACAATGGTTACTGGAACTCCATGCAACCTTACAATCTCCTTCACATAAAGAACACCAAGCTTCTCTGTATCATCTATTGCCTTAATAGGCAAAAAGTGAGCCGTCTTGGTCAATCTGTCAATGATGACCTATACGGACTCATTGCCCCTTCGTGACCTTGGAAGACCTGTCACAAAATCCATAGCAATATGATCCCATTTCCATTGTGCTACAGGTAATGGTTGTAACAAACCGGCTGGTCTCTGATGCTCGGCCTTCACTTGCTGACAGGTAAGGCATCTAGCCATAAACTGTGCAACATCTTTTTTTATCTCGTTCCACCAATACTGACGTCTCAAATTGTGATACATCTTGGTACCACCTGGATGAACTGCAAAGCGGGAAGTGTGAAACTCCCGTAAGACGTCCTCACGACAAACTGTAGGAACCACCAACAAACCCCTGAACCGTAAACCCCCATCTGTATACAAAGCCCAATCTTTCACTGTCTCACCACTGGAGATCAAAGCGTGAATGGCATCTAAATCCGGGTCCTGTCTTTGTGACTCAATCACTCGTACAACAAGAGTAGGCTGAGCCATAAGACTAAACAAGAATGCCGGCTCGCTGTCAACATCATCATCAAAACAATACAATCCCATCTCTACCAAATCCTTAAGCATCTTCCACTTCCGAATAACCAGACAGGCCAAAGTTCCATGAGATTTTCGGCTTAAGGCATCTGCTACCACATTTGCCTTGCCCAGATGATACTGCAAGTCAAAATTATAATCTTCCAAGAATTCAACCCATCTTCTCTGTCTATTGTTTAAGTCCTTTTGGGAGAAAAGGTACTTGAGACTTTTATGATCCGAGTACACCTCGAATCTCTCACCATACAAGTAGTGTCTCCAACACTTCAAAGCAAACACAACTGCCACCAACTCTAAATCATGAGTAAGGTAGTTGTACTCGTGAGTCTTCAACTGCCGAGACCCATAAGCCACTACTCTACTATCCTGCATCAACACACACCCTAAACCATCACGTGAAGCATCACAATAGATCACATAACCCAAGCCACGCTCAGGTATCACCAACACTGGAGCCGTAGTCAATCTTGTCTTCAATTCCTGGAAAGATGACTCATAGGCTTCATTCCATGCAAACTTAATCCCTTTCCGGGTTAAACGGGTCATAGACGCTGCTAAACGGGAGAAATCTTTCACAAATCTCCGGTAGTAACCCGCTAGACCAAGAAAACTACGGATCTCAAACACATTCTTGTGTTGCTCCCAATTCAAAACAGCTTCAATCTTTGATGGATCAACTGACACTTCACCTTCTGAAACAACATCTCCCAAAAACTTCACCTCTTGTAGCCAAAACTCACATTTCTCATATTTGGCATACAACCGGTGCTCCCGCAAAATCTGTAAAACAATACTTAAATGGATCTCGTGTTCCTCCCGAGATCGTGAATACACAAGGATGTCATCCACGAAAACTACCACAAACTGGTTTAAGTAATCGTGAAAGACGCGGTTCATTAAGTCCATGAATACCGCTGGAGCATTAGTCAAGCCAAAAGGCATAACAAGGAACTCATAGTGTCCATACCGTGTACGGAATGCTGTCTTCGGGATATCCTCATCCCTAACCCGCAACTGATAATAGCCAGACCTCAAGTCAATCTTGGAGAAACAACTGGCTCTCCTCAACTGATCAAATAAATCATCTATCCTTGGCAAATGATACTTGTTCTTGATGGTGGCGCGATTCAACTTCCGATAATCGATGCACAACCTCAAAGAACCATCTTTCTTCTTAGCAAACAAGACCGGTGCTCCCCATGGTGACACACTCGGTCGGATGAAACCTTTCATCCTTAAATCATCAAGTTGTCTTTTTAATTCCTCCAATTCAACTGGTGCCATACGATACGGTGCCATAGAAATCGGCGCGGTACCTGGCATTAACTCAATAGAGAACTCCACTTCTCGGTGTGGAGGCAACTCTGTCAAATCCTCCGGAAACACATCCAGAAAATCACGAACAACTGCAGGATAATATTCTTCCACAACATCATCCTCTTCGGCTATAAGGCTAGCCAAAAAGTAATCACCACGACTCTGTCCACGAATTCCATAAAACGATGAAATGTGGGAATCACTCCGATCTCCCACGAAAAAGAAACAGTCTCCCTCCGGAGTACAAACTGTAACCCTTCCTCTGAAACAGTCGATCGTGGCATGAAAAGAAGCTAACCAATCCATCCCGAGAATGACATCAAAGCTAGTCATTTCTAGGAGGATAAGGTCAAACATAAAAGTCCGCCCAGCTATCACAATGGAACAGTCCCTCACGACTCGGCTCAAAGACACTGAAACTCCAACTGGCGTATCAACACATAACGCCCCATCCATAAAACTGACCTCTAACCCCAATGTAAGTGCAAATGATGATGAAATGAAAGAATGAGATGCACCAGAATCAAACAAAACAAGGGCCCAAGGACCAAACACTGGAAATATACCTCGGAGAACTGAAGATCCAAGAGATGCATCAGTCGATGATGTAAGGGCAAAGACACGCCTCTGCGGTGCCTATGCCTGTGAACCACTAATTTGAACACCAGACTGTTATGCCGACACAGTAGGAGTATCCCTCCTAGCTGGTCGTGAACCTTGAGAAGATAAAGCAGGTTGTGGTGGTGGCGGCTGTGGTCTGAAACCTGATTGAACCGTAGCCGACTGTAACGGCCTCTGCCGTGACCCTCTGCCACTAGTGGTGCCTGCTCCCTGCCTCGGACAGTCCTGAATCAAATGACCCTGCTGGCCACACCCATAACAAGCCTTCGGAGCTGAAGAAACTGAAGTCCATCTCATGGGACAACTAGACTTGTAATGCCCAAGCTGCTGACATTGAAAACAAACAACTGCACTCCTATCAGACCCAGCTGGCAACGGAGTGGTAGGAGCAGATCGTACAGACTGCTGTCCCTGAAACTGAGATGGACTGCCCCTGTTCCTTTTCCAAGAAGATCCTTCTGAAGATGGCCCTGCATCCCTCTTTTGCTTCAACTGCTCTCTTCTTGCATCCTTCTCTTTATTATCAGGTTCCAGCATTAAAGCCCTTTCCACTGCTTCAAAGTAAACCTTAATGAACTGTGCTGTGATCAACGGCCTCATCCGATCATTAAGACCAGAAACAAACTTCCGAGTCTTGTTAACTTCATCTCTCACCATTTCTGGAGCAAAGCGAGAAAGTGAAGTGAACTTGTTTTCATATTCTGCCACTGACATGCTCCCTTGGATAAGGTTATGAAACTGGTCTTGTAACTCCCATCTTTTGGAAAGCGGAAAGTACTTTTCATAAAACAATTCCTTGAACTTGTCCCAACTCATCTCTTCCACCTTGTATCGGCTCGTAACCGACTTCCACCATAATTTAGCATCCTTAGCAAACTTATAAGTAGCTAGGATGATCTTCAAATGATCCTCTGTCACATCCATAGAAGTCAATTGAGTTTCAACTTGCTCCATGTAGTCATCTGCTATCATTGGATCCGCACCGCCCTCAAACATAACCGGCATCAGCTGAGAAAACCCCTTAATAATCTTGAGACGCTTCTGAGCTGGCATCTCCTCAACTTGAACTGTAGGTTGTGGTGCCGACTGTGACTGAGCAGCAATCGTTGCCCTCACGACATTTTGCAACAAACGATTAAACTCCAATGTCACAGAACCTTCACCCACTTCTACGGGTGCTTCAACATTATCCCCCTTTATGGGGACAGCTCTTAGGGGAATTAAGTCCCTAAGAAGTGTGTCCTCATCATTTAGCTCCTCCGGATTGAAGCTGGAGCTCTCACCAACATCACCCCTAGTCGGTCTAGGGCCAACTTCCCTGATTTCCTCACGCCGTGACATCGTTCTATAAAACAAAGGAAACAATTCAATAACGATAACACTAAGGTCCAACCGTGAACAACCCAACGCAAAAACATACTGTACAAACATTTAGCATGTAATACTATGCAATGAACACATTAATGTAAGCATATAAACACATAAGCACGTAAGCAAGTAAGCAGTTAAGCATGCTTTTTCACATAGCAAAACACTTTTCCAAACAAGGAAATAACAATGCAAATGACTTCCTAGACAACCCTAGGCAAGCCTCTACCCGTCGTCCTAATAGTATTCGAACCATCGCTCTGATACCAAATTTGTAACGACCCTAGCTGATGCCAAAATTTAAAAAAAATTTGGCATAACCTCCCTTAAAAATGGGCCTTCAACAACCTGTCCCAATACACAAAATACTTTAAAATCATCTAACATCCCATTCATCCGTTCATTATACCTTAACATAGTTCATTTCACGGTGGAACATCCACACACCAATTAATCTAAATTATCATAATTATAGTCCCAAAATATATGGTTAAGATCTAAAGTCCATGTCTTACAACGTTACATGATACAATTACATGGAAATATATACCATGATTCCATTAGTTTCATTTACATTAAACAAAAGATAAGTTCGTTCTTAAATTACAAGGCCATGAATACTAACTTAGTTACATTTCCACAACTATGAATATACATAGAATGGTCAAAATACAAAATAGCAAACAACCTTCTAACAACTTTCAAGTTTGCGGAGGATTGTCATCCGCCGTTTCTTTGCCATGACCTGAAAAAAATAATAAGTATGCAGGGTGAGCTATATGCTCAGTAGGTGACACTTAAGACACGCATCTTGTGTCCCCGTGAATCCAAACATAGAATAGGTCAATGGGAATGGGGATCATACAATATCGGGATAATACAACATTCCAATTAAACTCAAGTACAAACAATGCAATGCCATGAAATGCGAATGCATGCCGATGTCGCTCCCCGTTTTCACATTTAAAATCCATCACTTTCAAACTGTTAATATAACCCGCCCTTTGGTGACCCCGCAGCGACACGAGAGGAGGATTGGCTAGTGTCCCTGACCCTTGGTAACCCCGCGGCGTCATTATGGGGCCCAGCTAGCTCAACCATGCTAGGTAGACTTCCTAGTCCCCTCTAGGCTATATTAACACTCCGGCCCTTTGGTACCCCCGTGGCGACCGGGTTTTCCAAAAACACTTTCATCAAAATACTTTTCCCTAAAACTCCCTATTTTCATTTCAAAAACAATCTTCCCAATCATGTCTCATGGTATGCATGTACATCATGTTCTTAATGCCATGGAAGTGAAGGCTTTCACATTATACAATTGTGCATACATTACAAGTACTCTAGGAAAATTACACATGCCATCCCATATCATTCTAACAAGTTTTACAACAATATAAGCATGGTAAATCAATTTATCAGACAAGGAAATTAGTCAAATAAACATGTTCTCATACAACTCAAGTAATACATTTAATCATAACCTCACATATAACACTTACATCATCTTTAATACAATTAGTTCAAAAATAAGCTTGCTTTTCAATAATTTAGGAGGTATAATTCACAAAAGAGCAAGAACATCATGAGTTAAGGGCCCCTACCTCTAAATTGAACAAAACCTTTAAAATGGGTGTTGAAATTCGAACTCCCAAAGAGGACCAAAAGCTGGAATTTCTAGTACTAGCACGTAGAGCTCGTCGTTTTGCCTCAAACGACACCTAAATCCGCCAAGAATTGAAAGAGAAATCAAGGATTGAAGTTGAAAAAGAAAAAAGAAAAGAAAAAAAATAGAAGCAGCGAGAGAGAGATTTAAGCTGCCCGAGAGAGAAAGCAAACTGGAATTAAATGGGTCTGTAATGACCCTTATATCTCAGGTGGGCCCCACAGTTGAAAAGTCATTATACTAATTATATATATATAGATAAGTCAAAAACTTTACATCACGGGTCAGGAGACAGGTACGAGATCTGACCCATTTCCGCCCCGCCCCGCCCCACCCCGCTAACATATAATTCTATTTAATATTATATATTTTATATAATATTAATAACTTATAAGTTACAACCCTAACTGAAATGATATTATACTACAGCCAGCGGCATCAATGTAATCTGTCCTTCTCTCTCTCTCACTCTCTCATGACTTGTGGTTTTGATATTGTAATTGGTCACGTAATCTTTGTAGTTGTTCTCACCTTAACATATCTCTTAGCCGGCTGTGAAATGAAAAACTTGGAGCAAAGTTAGTGTAATACCCCTAATTTTAAAAGGATATTTCTGGAATTTAATTTATTATTTAGTTGCATTTTATGTGATTATTTGCTTAAATTGTTTTATTTAATTATTTGTTAAGTGTTTTATTTTGTTTATTTATTTAATTGGAATTGTTTGTTTAAGTGGTTCATTGTGTGTTCAGTGTAGTTAATTATTTAATTGATATTACTTAATTGAATTTAGTTAATTATTTAATTGAATATTTTTAATGAAATTTAATTCTTTTTCTGTCTTAAACTTAAACGTTACTGTAATTGCTGTTGCTCACATATAGTTTTACATTAGGTTTAAGCTTTACATGGGTAGCCGACGTTGTTTATAACACAGGATGGTTTATGGGCCGAGTTGGGATCTGTTTCTAATCTTACAAGGATTAGGGTTTTAGGGATTAAAGCTTATAAATACACCATGATAATAAGTCTAGGGTTACAATCAAAGCACTTAGTTCACAGACGTAACCTATGTTCTGTAAACAAATAAACAGAGGGTTTAGAGCAGAGTATTGAAAGGTCTGTCAAAGGGAGAAGTTAGGAGGACAACGAGGAAAGGCTAAAGGTAAGTTCTAACCTCATCTCTTTCCTTTTTACTCGTGTTCTTTGCATGCCTAAGTAGTTCCAGGAAATCATGAAACGGAATTAATTGACTATACATGTTTAGAACTCATTACATCAGTATGTGTTGAAACTTATTATAAACTGCTTGTCTTGTGTCCAACTGTGTAATTATTCTTTTAAATTACTGTTAATTAATGCATGAAGGAGGTAGATGGGTTTTCTTTGGGTAGGTCTGAACACAAATAAAAGGGTTAGAAGCTGTAATAGAGAGGGACGGATGTAGTACAGTCAAACAGAGATGAAACAAGCAACAGAGGAGAGGGGGAAGAGGAGACGGCTCCATGGAACCATAGAGCCGGCTCTACATGGTTAGGAGCCAGCTCTACCATGGTTGGAGGCGGCTCCACCTTGTGGGAGCCTGCTCTCCTTGTGTTTGTCCAGTTTTTTTGAGTTTCTGTGAGTTCTGGATTGATTTTTGACATGGCAGATGTGTGTAGGAGCTGTGAATGGGAATTGTGGTTGATGTCTGAGATTAATTTAGGTCTTCAGAGGGCTTGTTAATGCATATTCACCCAATTAATATTATTTTTTGGAACAGTATACAATTTCTAAGAAAACTACTAGACTGTTTTGGAGATTTAGGATTTAAACTACACCATTTTAGGTGTAGCAGTTTATTTGGGAATGGAGTTAGGCTATGATCATATTTCTGTAATGGACTATAATCATGCAGGACTATAGAATGAATTACATGCCTATAATGGATGAAAGATGTATACTTACATTAACTGTTTTATTCACTCTTGAACAACTGTGTAGTATTATAGGATAAGTATGTAAATTTGTAAAACAAATCTTTCATGCTTACTTGGATTTAATTAAGGGTTATATACAGGGTCTGTAATATCCATCATGGAACTGTGTGGATGAGTGTTGAGTAGACTAGTTAAAGAACAAAGTTTTAACATGTTTAATGTGAAGCAGTTGATGTTTACAATTGAGTGATTAACTGTCGATTGTTGGATATTTTGTATAGTTGGTAATTATTTTTATTACTCACGTTGTCAACTGTGGATGTTGGATTATTGTTGAATATACTATATAGTTGATAATTACATATATTACCTATGTTGTCAACTGTAGATGTTGGATTATATGCACCGGTATGGGACGGTGGCATGCCTAGGTTTGGATTAGTTTCAAAATACTAAATCCTACCTACACGGAATAAGGGAATGGATATTAAAATAAATCCTACTTATAATTGAGTCAAAGAAGCTGCATTAGCTGAATGACTACTCGGATTACTCGTGAGTTATGTTAAGTCAAAGAAGCTGCACAAGCTGAATGGCTAACTGGACTTTCTATGGTTAGGACGGACTTTAAATATACGTTATGATACTGCGATCTGAGCTTGAGTCTCAGAGTCGTTGGTTAGGGAGCGTATATGCAATAGGATGCATAACTGGATATGAGAGGTTGAGGTATACCCTGTTAGGTCTAGGTACTCATGCCCACCTTTGGGTGCGTTTTCGCATGTTGCATTCTACTTAGGTTGAGACCCCCTCCATAGTCCAGTGAGAGTCCTGTAGTGTGGATATAATTATGTATCGGACTATTAGCTATTGTTGAATTGCTTAGGATGTATATGCGTATCGAGTTTCTTCCTGGATTATAGTAGGTTAGAACTTGTTCGTGGGCCTGACCCACTTCTATTTTTTAGGTACTCGTCAGTTCTGGACTTAGACCTGATCGTGCTGAGCAGAGACTACTACTCACTCTTTCGACGACGTAGGACTCTCTCCGTAATCTATTTTTGGATGTTTTTTTTCAGTTATCGATATTTCAGTTTGGATTATTATTAGGGGTCCACTAGAGATGGATTCCTGAGTTGTTTAATCTATTGGAGGTTTTTGGATTATTGGGATTTAAGTATTTATTCTAATGAATTTTATTTTAGTTTCTTCCAGCTTGTAATATTTATTCTTAGTTGATTTTGTCATCTGTGTTCGCTTTTAAAATATTAATTGTTTGATATTCTCTCGGGTTTGGGCCTGGGCTGATCAACCCGTTTCTCGGATCCGAGGGGTATCACAGTTAGGTAGTACTGTTTAAGCAACCTTTCTTCATCTTCCAATGCTAAGCCCTAATTATATATCTTTTTGGCTTTCCAAGTTGCAATCTTCAAACTGTTCATTAATTTGTAATGTAAATTATGCATTTTTGGTTCATTAATTTCACAAATGAAGAATATGTTCTTGTGATATATAACATTATATATATATTGTTTTCCCTAATTTTTCTGCTTGTATTAAATATCAAATTTAAACAAAATCTGCCTATCATTTTCTTTAAAAAAAAAATTATAAATCTGTAAATCTTTAAATTTCATATTTTATTTAGTAGATTTATTCATTAAAAAAATCATAAAGTTAGTGTTTTTCCTTGATATGATGGGTGATCACACATTCTTGAAAATCTTTCTATAAATCTCGAGGACATGAGAGTCTTGGGAGATTGCAGATGACAGATTGAATAACAGCAGCTTAAGTCCCAAAAAGTGGAAGGAAAAAAATTGTTAACGGGGCGGGCATAGGGCAAAACATTCCCCAACGGGGTGGGGATGGATATGAACATCCAACTCTTTATGGGGCGCGGAGCACGGGGCGAGCATGAACTTGCCAATAATTATACGGGGTGGGAATGGATTAAGGTAAACCCGCTCCAAACCCGCCCCGTTGCCATCCCTATACGTACTCCACTTTCATCTTTGTGATTTTTCATGTAAATCTCTTCTAAGGGTTTTACTTTGATATTTGTTGGAATAACTTCGTTTTAATTTTTGCAAAAAGAAAAAAAATTACCCTTAAATTTACCATGCATAGGAGTAATGTATATAATTGTATGATGTATATGAAGACTTAGATGTCTACATACCATTTATGAGTATTTCATGTGCTGGCAATGAAAATTTTTCATGATGGCTTATGTTAACATCATATATCCTGGGTAAAAGTCATTAAGGGATATATATATGTATATATATATACA